CAGATAAATGATTATCTCTCCTTAATGACAGGTTGAAATGATAAACCTCAGATAAATGATTATCTCCCCTTAATGACAGGTTGAAATGATAAACCTCAGATAAATGATTATCTCCCCTTAATGACAGGTTGAAATGATAAACCTCAGATAAATGATTATCTTCCCTTAATGACAGGTTGAAATGATAAACCTCAGATAAATGATTATCTCCCCTTAATGACAGGTTGAAATGATAAACCTCAGATAAATGATTATCTCCCCTTAATGACAGGTTGAAATGATAAACCTCAGATAAATGATTATCTTCCCTTAATGACAGGTTGAAATGATAAACCTCAGATAAATGATTATCTCCCCTTAATGACAGGTTGAAATGATAAACCTCAGATAAATGATTATCTCCCCTTAATGACAGGTTGACATGATAAACCTCAGATAAATGATTATCTTCCCTTAATGACAGGTTGAAATGATAAACCTCAGATAAATGATTAATAAACCTCAGATAAATGATTATCTCCCCTTAGTGACCAGACAGTCTGTAAGAAATATAAAAGAAAGCAGAAATTTAACAGAAAGATCCTGGATATATATTCATGTTTTTGACAGAAGCTATTTAAATTGAAGTATGAACATGATGTAATCCTACACTCACCAGGATACTCACATTAGTGGTTGTAGGATATTAGAATGACCCTTCTGGCACAAATCCTGAGTGACATATTGAAACAGCCTACCAGGTCTTGGAAAATATAGGGTTTTATTCCTAGAAATCTTCCTCACACATTGTCTGGCAGTTCAAAAATCCTGAGTGACATATTGTAACAGCCTACCAGGTCTTGGAGAATATAGGGTTTGATTCCCAGAAATCTTCCTCACACATTGAAAATTTATTAAATTCATTATAATTAGCAAATACATTCACAAATAATATATAAAAGTAAGTCACGAGATATTAACTGCTATTTTTTATGTCAATATGTCATATTGATGTCACAAAATAAACAGCAGTTAATTTTCATATGTATTTATTGAATATATATTACCTTTTAATCAATTTATAAAGATACAAATAATGAATTAACATGTTTTAAATGATTTTATTTTTTTAGTAAACATACCACATATATTTCACACTGATCTTTTCAACAGTGGAACTTTAAAAACCTTTTTGTATTTTGTATATCTTTCAGGATATAATGTAGTATTTGAAGAGCAATATCTATTCTCAGTTTATGGATTTGACAAATTGTAGTTCAAAAGTCTGAGACCCATTTTGCATGTGTTCCTTTTGCAATCTCCATCCAAAAATGTCTTTACAGGCTTTAAACAATATTTAACAGATCCTTACTGAAAAAAAAACCTGTGGATTCAGAAGGAATTCATTCAAAATTGACTTCCTTTTTTGTGTTTTACATCACATCATTAAAATTCTATGTAAACAATGATTTCCTATGTAAGACTTGATGAAAATTGTGCTCCAGAAAAAGAATTTCAAGGAACAAGACTTAAGCAAGTCTACCAGTAGCCTTTTTATACCTGTCACTATAGTCCATCAATCAGGCATGCCTTTTACCTGGAGGGAATTCAATTAAGGTGTGATAGATGGTCAATTTACCACACCAGCCATATGTGGCTGGCAGTGATAAACAGCCAGGTATAATGGTTAAGTCCCTTATCCAGCTATCACAACATACCTGGCAAGTGGAGAAGAGATTTTGATAATCAAAAAGTAAGTTTGAAAAAATAAGTGCAACATTTACTCAGCGTTTGAGTTTGAATGAATCAATACTTGAACACAGACTTGATAATTAGACTACCAATAGATCGGTACTTGTAGATAAACTTGACCTTTAAACCATATCAGGGACGTTGGTATATCATATGTCTCTTAAAAAACTAAAACTTGATCAATATTTGAAGGCAAACTTTTTATGTTACAAAGAAAATCTTGATCAATTTTTGAAGGCAAACTTTTTATGTTACAAAGGAAACCTTGGTCAGTTTTTGAGGACAAACTTAATCTATATATATTTGAAATAGTAAATCATGATCAAATTAAGACATTAAGATGTCTTACTCTACAAACTTTGGTCAATATAGGTATTTGGAAAATATATTTGGTCCCTGCAAGAGACAAAAATATGTCTAAAAAAGTGAAGGGTGACGACTATTGCACATTTTTGTAGACAGACCAATGTTGCAGAAAACAAACAAAAAAAACCTCAGAATTATCATACACTTTTGTAGACAGACAATCCAACAGTGCAGAAAACAAACAAAACCCCCAGAATTCTGAATAGCCTAACAGATCAGTGATATAGAAATCTGTATCATAAAAGTCAGGATTTCAGGAAGACAGTTACCCCTTTATACACATGGACAGCAATATAAGTATGTCACAGTGATGGTAAAGACACACACCTGTTACAAGTGGAAGTTCTGACCTCACACTAATACCTCTACCATACCTGTCTGGTATCATCAGTATTATCATAGGATTGTAATCCTACTGTCCTGTAATGACTGGGATGTACTTTGTATCAGAAATAAGTCTGAAGAAGTTGATTGTTGAACAATTTTTATCGGAACATTTGTACAGTAGAGTTTTGGTCACACTGTGGTCTGATATATTTGAGACTGTTTGTCTGGGTACCCTAGATCTAGAGCAATATACTATGCAAATTGACTTGAATCATGATGTCAGCTTTGTATGTTCAAAATTTAAATAGAATGAAATGTTATATTGATAACCCATTCATGTTTGAAAATGATATTTTTGTCTCTAGATGCAACAATTGCAGTCAGATCAGTAACTGTTTATAAGGAATCCCAAATTGGTTATCGAGATGATCGGATGTCAGCAGTAGAAAAATGCAATTGTTCTAGGTTTTTTAAATGTTGTTTTATTTCAGAATATTTTATTGATATAAACAATCAATAGGATTAGACAGCAGGCTAGTGCCTATATAAGTCTTCTCCCAAGACAACACGGTGATCAGACATAAACATAATACACCATAAACATACATACATACATACATACATACATACATACATACATACATACATACATACATACATACATACATACATACATACACACACACACACACACACACACACACACACACACACACACACACACACACACACACACACACACACACACACACACACACACACACACACACACACACACACACACACAACACCTTATACATACATACATACATACATACATACAAACCTTATACATACATACATACATACATACATACATACATACATACATACATACATGCATACATTTAGTGTTGACAGACTAATCAATTTTAAATAAGGGAGACAACTCTATCATTTTTTTATACTTTAAGGTTATGATTATAAGAAGTTAATTAAGAACCCACCAGCTTTTCAGTTTACTATTTCTGATGATATTAAACGTGCAGTACAATGTTCTAGGTTGACATGCCCAGTATATCTGTACGTATACATATGCAGGTACATAAATATTCAGAAATTATTTTTGATGTAATACCACCTTTAAGTAAACCTGTAATATTTATAGAATTTATTTATCATTGACATACATATGTGACAGTCTGTGGTTAATAAAGATATTTGACATTTAAAGGTGTGGGAGCTTAGTAGACAGCAATAGCATACATATTCTACTTAATCGCTGTAGTAGGCTATATATAGGTTTTCTGTGCAGAGTCTTGTGTATCCGTGAAAGGTTAAAGGTTAGGTGAAATATTCAAAATAGAAAAACAAAAAGACAAAAACCTTGTATCATTAATTAGCTGTATGTACCAATGTCAATTACTAACATAAATTCATTGAAACTTTCTGAAATGTTAATGCAAAGAAAATTTATTTTGAAATTTGAAAATTGGCAGACTTGTCTAAAATTCATAAGACCAAATAAAATTTCTCATTTCATTTTTTGTTTTCATTATGTAAGATATAAACTGACTCTATACTTACCATAACAATTTAAATGTAAGTCATGGTATAAATATATATGAAATTAAAATCTTTTTGAATGTTATGTAATAAAAGTTAGATGTGTATAATAGACCCTATTACTAATAGCTTGTTAAACCAGACAAACCAGACTGGTTTCTATGACGATGGTCATATTTATCTGATATCTAAGTCCATTATAACAGTGCAGACAGCATTATGTAACTTTGTAACATATTTACATATTTATGAAAGCCCCAGGCCCAACTTTCCAATACTGGGCTAAACAGGTTTAGAAATAGGACACGGCCGATGGAGAAGTTACGATATTCAGATATCAGAGTTGACATACTGTATTATAAAAGAATATTTTTCACCGTGATAACATATTTTGGATGACGATGTTGGTTGAACATTTCCTGAAGAGATTGGGTAAATTTGGTTGAAATATCTATATGCAATATTTAATAAGGATAATATATTTATATACAATCTTTATTTAGGATAATATATCTATATACAATATCTATTTAGGTAGATTTTGTTATAATGAATTTTTTTTTAGTTTTGTTTTAGATGTGAGAACACATTGTAAATATTTACAATGGTTCTGTGTGTTGTGGTTTAAATTTGTACTGACTTCTTACACTGGCTACAAATTATGAATTATATTTTGATTGAAGGCTTTGAAACCTTCATCTGTCTATAAAATGTTATACCTGTTTATATCTCACTTCAAACTGAGTATGATGTTCATTTCATCCGAGTGATAAATGAAATAGTTGTTTCGTAGAGTCTTAAAATTGATCCCCCATTTTGTGAGCACCTGTGTGTCTATTATGTAGAAATTATGAAACATAATTGTCATTTTAACTTGAATATCCAGTCATGATCCTCAAGATGTTTGAAAGGTATGGAATAACGGTACACTGTGTAAGATCTTTAAAGATGGAAATGTTCACTTACATAGAGTTAATGTAATTTTCAGCTTTATTCTGTAGCGGTTTCTGATCACGATTTTTCTATTGCAGATCTGGAGGACAATCCAGAATACATGCAGATGATGTCCAATGCTGCCAGTAATCTGCAGCGGCGGTCATCTTCAGGATCTGACCGGTCCTACCCTGTAACAGACCGAGGTCAGTCGCTTCGGTCGGTCAGTAGGTCACCTAAAGACTCCATCTCTGAAAATAACGAACAAGATGACTTCATGAACAAAGTGTGCAAATTTGAATTAATATCGCGTGGGAAAAACTCGCCAAATGCCAAGTCACCAACTAATAAGTTTTTTTCTCCAGAAAACGAAAGATACGATCCGTCTCATTATTCTCCTCCTAACACAACGTCATCTACAAACAGATCTCCTCATTCACGACAGTACACGCCTGATTCTGGAAAATCTGCTGGCACCGCTCCCTACCCAGCCAAGTCAATGGAGCGTCAGAAATCTCGGACTGGGCAGAGCCCAGGAACATATTCAGGTGAGAAAGTGTTCAGTAAAGAGACAGCAACTACCCGTGTGTCACTCAGTGTCTTACGAGGAAATTCTGGCACAGGAAGTAATGAACGCGTGACAAGTACAGGAAGTAATAGTTCTGGCTCACTGACAAGTGTTAGTAGTGTTAGTGGTGCTACATTGAGTTGGAATTCAAATTCTGATTCATCAAAATCTAATGAGTCCTTGTCTAGCAGCAAGACTCTTCATACCTCCTCATCAGGGAGCACAACTCCCCGAATGGACCAATCAGTAAGCAGGACTCGAACACCTGACTTAGCTAGCACAAAGGTTGTTATGGCAACAACTGCTGAGTCTTTAGCAGAAAGTATTATGAATGGTGATCTGCTCTCATCTTTTACTTCAACAAAGAAGCCAGATTTTGACCCTGGTAGTGAAAGTAATAGAAACACATTTGATGGAATGGATTTTGATTTTAACGAACTTACGGCAAGTCAGCAAGACTTGTCTATTAAACACCAGGAAATGGTGTCAGAGCGGAAAAAGGAACAGGAAATGGAACGTCTCGAAAAACAACGTTTAGAAGAAATATTGAATATGTGTGCAGAATATGAAAAACAGATTCAGGATGAAAAAGGAAGCACAAACAGTCCTGTTTCTAGTGTTCATGGTCAGACAAAGCCCCAGCAGCTGAAACCTTGGACCATGCAGGATTTTCTGGAAAACAACAACAAACCAGTGGAATCTATTGATCATAGAGATGGTAGTTTGACACCTACCTCATCTTCAAGTCTACAAGGGCAGACAACTCCAAAAGCAAATGGAACATTTAGTTACAACGTGTCACCAAATTTCAGTGGTTCTAACAATGGGCAAGTTGTTTACCCAGGTCAAATAACCCCACAAACTGGAATTAATGTAGAATATGGTTCATATGAGAATATGATAGTTACCTCCCCTGAACACGTTAAGTCTGGATCCCCTGCCATGCAGAGTCCCCCATCGTACATACAAAGGCCCAGTCTGCCATCCATGACAGGATATGAAGGTCAAAAGAGCAGAGGTCAAGGTTCACCAAGACAACAGGATGTTAGATTGAATGGGTTTGCACAAAATCAAAATATGCAGAATTTACAGCCAGACATTAGAGAGTTTATCACTTCTTCACCAAAAACTGTTCTTGAGGAAACAAAACCTGTTTCGTCAAGTCCAAAGTATGTGCCAGAGGAAAATAAAATTATATCTCCCTCGCGTAAGTTTACAGTCGAGAATCAGCATGGTGTAGTTAAGTCTCCAAAATCTCCTGGTAACAATGGAGAGTTCATATATTCTCTCGCTAAATCTGTCTCTGTAACAGATGACATGGGCTCCAACATGGCTGGCGGTATTCCGCAGTCAAAGTCCACAACGAAGACCAACAAGGTACAGAGTAATGCCACACAGGAGATGAATTGGCAGTATTCGGATTCGTCAGTGAATCCACAACGACAGATAATAGATCCACCGGCAGGATTTGGGGACATTGTGTCTGATGGTTCCCATAATGATAAGCAAACTGCCTCCACACCTGAAATCCACCAATTGATTTCTGAATCAGCTGCAACATTGAATCGAAAGGAGAAAGAACAACAGATAGCTCAAGCTACTCAGAGACCCGGACAAAATCAGGACGATGTTAGTGCAGGTAAACCTGTACAGAGACCAAACCTATTGTTGAACCTGAATGATCAGGATGGGACTAACTCACTGGACAGAAAAGACAAGTCAGAGTTCCGAAGCTCAATGTCGAAGATCAAAACGAACGGGTCTCTTACCATGTTATCATCGCCAAACAACCCTCACAAGGATGTGATGGTCGGATTTCAAGTCCGACGCTGTAACTCCAATTCCTCAAACTCTGAGGAAGAATCATCAGGTGGAAATTCAGAGGATACAGGAACAATAAAACGTCGCCCTTTGATAGGTGGTGAACCACTGAGACGGAGATCAATTGAAGAGAGAAATCGCAATAAGATTTCTCCCGAGGAGCCTCTTAAAAGTCCACATTTCTCGCCAATAATGGGAAGCAGGAGCCCAAAAATTGGTCGTAGAATGATGCGTTATGAAGACCTACAGAACCAAAGTGCTAAAGTATCTAGCAGTGAAAGTTTGTCGTCCTCAAGCAAAAAATCAGACGACAATTCTAGTGTGAAAAGTCGTAAATCAAACAGCAAGGAAAGTATATCTTCCAAAAATGATGTTGTACATGTGCACAAATCTAGCCAAGAGGATGTATCTGTTAACAGTATAAATAATCATGTGTCTCCTAACAGTTCCATGGATTCGGCGGAAATAGAGAAATCTGTCCGAATGGAACGGTGTGAAATGTATCTTCGTACATCTGGAGGTCAAGGTCATTTGTCAGATCATTCTCATGGTTTTACTAACTTGGATAAATCTTGTGATAGCCCAGAACCAGGTCCCTTCCCTCGTGATATCGGTGAGGGGATTTACGAAAATGTGCCATTTTATCGTAACAAGGAATCACGGAATATAACTGCGGATTATACCTCATCTGTGTCTTCCACAAGGATTAATAATACTAATGAGAATTATTATTCTAAAGTGAGTTCCATTGATTCAAATATTATGTCGTCCATCCGGAACTCTTCAGGATCTAACGGTAGCAGCAAAAAGTCGGATGAAACACCGGTCAACAGTGACACGGAGCACATCTTAACGCAGACACACGATCGGGCATCCTCCAGTGGTGTCGAGTCATCTAGTGAATGTAGCTTCAATTTTACAGAGGTAAGTATTCATATACCTATGTTGTCTCAACAAGGGAAAATCTCGAGTTAAGATAATTAACCAAAAGTCCCCAGTAGTCTGGGGCCATCTCAAGTGTCAATTAGTGTGGCAGACCCATGTGGGGTCTTTGGGGAAGGTGTTGACAGAAATATTTAACCTTGTTACACCATCACTGCTGTTACTCTTGAAAAACATGACATTTCCTTTCCTGAAGGAGGAACATGCTGTACAATGGTAACTGCTCTTCCCTGCTAATTGGGTGTCAGACACAGCGGTCGGGTTTGATTCCCGGAAAGGATATGAAAAGATGTAGGGGCATCTGCTTAACGTTTTGAGTTTTTCCTGGGTTCTCTGATTTCCTCTGATTTCCTCTCACCCCTTGTACGCTTCCATTCGGGCAAACAAAAATGGTTTATAAAGCTTGTTTTGTAGTTGTTATAGTATAAAGAAAGCTCATACATATCATTCGTGATACTCCAGAGGTCATACTTCTGCTTTTTGCACACCTGGAATATGTCATGGCAAAATTGAAGACACATGCAAAGTATTTTGATTGGTTCCAGGAGACAGAAACTGACCAATCACATGTTGATATGCTCCTTTTGAAGATTACATAGGGTGGGCACCCAGCTTCAAATCAATTACATTATACCATTGTGCGACCTTGAGATTTGTGTACATCAAAGAATCAAACTAATCTTATCATGTTGTCCACAAGGTGTCACACATGGAACCTTCAGTATTGCCAGGACATGTTCCACAGGTGCAGAGACCTAAAATGATCCTTAACGATCAATGATATATATATGTAAGCTAAGTGCCAAATCAAATAAAAATGTTTTGGATAATTATGACCCAGTTATCTCATAATTTATAATTTGGACTAGTTACGTCGTAAATTTGACAGAAATATCTCTATTTAATGTAGAGCTGTCAATTTTCTGTATTTATGATCAGTTGAATTTCTCTACATATACCTCATTTAGTAGAAATTTTAGTTTTACTGAAACAAGTCATTTAAAGGCGCTTTTCAGTGTGAACATGGTCATGTTTTGTCATATCAGCATTAGTACAATATTATGATTGGAAGGAGAAAGGGATGACACCTTGCTACTGATGCTGTTGTGATTTGAACCTATAGCAACCATTCAGTTTCTTTTATAACGCTTACCGAAACGCCTACTAACAGAGCTAGGCTACTAGTCACAGTACACGTTTCCTCCTTCATGATTAAGTCTTTGACTCCCTCGATTTAGGTTCTTTGGCTCCAAAGAGGCATCTCAGTTTTCAATACCTTTGACTGTTTGAGTGGTCAACAGCACTGAATCTGTAACAGTAATAAAATACATCCTGCCACAGCAGGGGTTTGAATTAGTGACCTGGCAATCTCTTTTCTGGCAGACAATCTACCGCTTGATATAGAAACAAAATCAAACACAAACATTACAAAATATCATGTTAGTTCCAATAATCAATATTCATGTAAAATTTTCAAGAACTGAAAAGAAAAACACTTTTAATTTTCTAAATGATTTCACATTATAACACATTTGTTTTTATTGTCTTAAAAGATCATTGTTTTATTTCAATGATAGACAGTTACGTTATATCGGGTTTTTAGGAAGAGTTGATAATATCTCATAGAATAGACATTGTTTATTCTGCCTTCCTTGTCTGCTTCACAAAGTTTTCATATGTTGAAGGAGATCTCGACCAACTTTCAATAAAAATAAACCTGCTACATGTATTGTGCAGTATAAGGGAGGCAACTCTGATAGCCTTACAAACACAGCTATCACCACAGCATTCACAAGTCAATTCAAACATTAGGGATTAATACTTCACTTAGCCTAGCAGTAAAGCAATGAGTGACATCCAAATTACTGATCAAGACAGTAAAGAGACTAATTTTTCAGATATAAAAATCTCTCTTATATTTTATTTAAAAAAAAAAAAAAAACAGAAAAAAATTATAGATAAACTATACTGGTAAACATGTCTTCTTGTATACTTTGGTAGACAGCCAAGATTAAAACTTTAAGATCTTTAAAAAAAATATTTACGCCTGCCATCACATGATGTGAATCATAATATTTATTTTGCTAATTAGTGAATAAATATATAGACACACCTTGATTTGCACGGTGATCACGGAAAATGACATCTGACAAAAATTTCCTTTGCTGAAGAGAAACATACATTTATAAAGGCTGTGTGAAAGCTGTTACTTTTTTTGCTGGAAATGGTGTAAGCTGCAGACCTTTGTGTTAAACAGCATGTGGTGTTTTGATTGTATAATCATGTAACCAATAAACACTTGATTTTACAAGTCTGGACACAGATGGAGTTTGAGTAATCATGAAACCAGGGACAGCATATAAACGAGTATGGCTTCCTTAAGCTGACAGCCAGTGACACCATCTGTACCCAGTTTTTATAAAACCTTTAAATCATGGTGATTATAGTGTCTTGTATATCAACTGAACTTGATTCATAGTTATTCTCCCGGTAAAAATTAGATTTCATGATAGAAGTTTGAAATTGCCATTTTGAAAAACAACGCTATGGCAGAACCAACATGCAGCAAAGCGGTTGAAACATGTCGACGATGTACAAACATGTCGACGATGTATAAACATGTCGACGTACAAACATGTGGACGATGTACAAACATGTGGACGATGTACAAACATGTAGCGATGTACAAACATGTCGACGATGTACAAACATGTCGTCGTACAAACATGTGGATGATGTACAAACATGTTGACAGTGTACAAACATGTCGACGATGTACAAACATATCGACGTACAAACATGTGGACAATGTACAAACATGTCAACGATGTACAAACATGTCGACGATTTACAAACATGTCGACGATGTACAAACTGCAATTTGGACGTTGGGATTGTTTTATTTAATTATTAAATTGTCTTTTTATATAAGGCTTCATGTGTGATATCGCATTCAATCTTTGATAAAATGAATAATAACTCTTATTTGTTTTTTCTTACCTCTTGATGAAGATAAAGATTTTATATAAGACACACAAAAGTGAATAGTGCCTTTTAATAATTTATAGTTAGATACCGTAGAGTCAAACAATTAATTTAACTGCATCATACAGCTGTTTCATCCTTCTGGGACTTGTCAGTGATGCTACATCACACAGCTGTTTCATCCTTCTGGGACTTGTCAGTGATGCTACATCACACAGCTGTTTCATCCTTCTAGGACTTGTCAGTGATGCTACATCACACAGCTGTTTCATCCTTCTAGGACTCGTCAGTGATGTTACATCACACAGCTGTTTCATCCTTCTAGGACTTGTCAGTGATGCTACATCACACAGCTGTTTCATCCTTCTAGGACTTGTCAGTGATGTTACATCACACAGCTGTTTCGTCCTTCTAGGACTTGTCAGTGATGCTACATCACACAGCTGTTTCGTCCTTCTAGGACTTGTCAGTGATGCTACATCACACAGCTGTTTCGTCCTTCTAGGACTTGTCAGTGATGCTACATCACACAGCTGTTTCGTCCTTCTAGGACTTGTCAGTGATGCTACATCACACAGCTGTTTCGTCCTTCTAGGACTCGTCAGTGATGCTACATCATACACCTGTTTCGTCCTTCTAGGACTCGTCAGTGATGGTACATCATACAGTTGTTTCGTCCTTCTAGGACTTGTCAGTGATGTTACATCATACAGCTGTTTCGTCCTTCTAGGACTAGTCAGTGATGCTACATCATACAGCTGTTTCGTCCTTCTAGGACTTGTCAGTGATGCTACATCATACAGCTGTTTCGTCCTTCTAGGACTTGTCAGTGATGCTACATCATACAGCTGTTTCGTCCTTCTAGGACTTGTCAGTGATGCTACATCATACAGCTGTTTCGTACTTCTAGGACTTGTCAGTGATGCTACATCATACAGCTGTTTCGTCCTTCAATGACTCATCAGTGATGCTACATCACACAGCTGTTTCATCCTTCTAGGACAGCTGTTTCATCCTTCTAGGACTTGTCAGTGATGCTACATCATACAGCTGTTTCATCCTTCTAGGACTCGTCAGTGATGCTACATCACACAGCTGTTTCATCCTTCTAGGACTCGTCAGTGATGCTACATCATACAGCTGTTTCATCCTTCTAGGACTCGTCAGTGATGCTACATCACACAGCTGTTTCATCCTTCTAGGACTCGTCAGTGATGCTAAGGGCCAAAACTATACAATTCAAACATCTTTTACATACAGTGACAGCCAAGCATGAGAATAACATAGGTAATTAATCCACATGTATATATAACAGAATTTGACTGGTTTGATTGAAATGACCAGATAGCTTAATTGGTAGCGTCTGCCTAGAGTTCCGAGGGTCCCAGGTTCCTGGGGTCTCATCGTGTATTTTTTCCGCTTCTGTTTCATTTGAAGCATGAGGCCAACCCTTGTGTCAAGTAGATGATTGCTTGACTAGGGAATACCTGGACCTGGGTTGCAAATAGCTACGGTTGTTGTCTTATGGGTAAAATATTGAGAAAAATGAGGAAGGATTGTAGCAGAAAATGACCAGGTCAATTATCGGTTATTCATGTGGTAGAGTGTGTGTTTTAGAGTTTGGATGGTCCAGGGTTTGAATCCTGGTATGGTCATGCATTTTTCTGCTAACATGTATCTGAAGGGTTGTATAAGGTCGATTATTACAAGACGAATGAGGTACTGAAATAGGCATTTGCTTTGTTAAAATGCAGCTGAACATTAATCATAGAATTGGATCGGGGTGGGGTTGGTTGTTTGCAGGGTTGTTGATTGTGTGTGTGTAGGTGGGAGGAGGGATGTTGAAATCATGCATGTGCTTTGCCAAATAAATGCTGTATATACCAGGTAATATACTTATATAAGTCTATGATACTATGTGATAATGGAGCAGAACAACAGGAGATCAGATATAAAATTATTTTTACTCAGACTAAATATATTTAAAAATAGAACTT